CGAATTTACTACAGTTGGGAACTTGGGAAAAATATTTCTCCAAAACGCCAGTTGATAATTGAAATAAAGATGTTTTTTTAAAAAATGCTCGTCAGTTGATAGTTGAAAAAAATATATATTTAAAAAAAATCAGCGTTGAGACAAAATATTTTTTTTTTCACAAATTCATGACTTTTGGTAATCTGAAAAAAATATTGAGGAAATCTACGGCTGTTGGGAATTTGGAAAATATATTCCTTGGAAAAAATATTTTTTAAAAATCTACGAATTTTAGGAACATGGGAAATATTTTTTAAAAAATCCACGAATTTTAGGAACTTGGAAAATATATTTTTTTTAAAAATCCACGACTGTTGGGATGAGCATCCATATATTCCAAGTCAGTTGATTATTGGGAAAAATATTAAAATATTATTTACTACAGTTGGGAACTTGGAAAAAATATTTCTCCAAAAATCAACGCCAGTTGATAATTGAACAATTTTTTTTTTTTTTTTTAAATCTACGTCAGTTGACAATTTTTTTTTGTTTAAAAATCAGCATTGAGAAATAATATTTTTTCACAAATTCACGACTTTTGGTAATCTGGAAAAAAAATTGAAGAAATTTACGGCTACTGGGAATTTGGAAAATATATTCTCTAGAAAAAATATTTTTTAAAAATCCACGAATTTTAGTAACTTGGAAAATATATTTTTTAAAAAATCCACGACTGTTGGGCTGAGCATCCATATATTCCACGTCAGTAAATAATTGGAAAAAATATTTAAAAAAAAATCAGCGTCAGTTGATAATTGAAAAAAAATATTTTGTCACAAATTCACGACTTTTGGAAATTTGGAAAAAATATTTTTTCAAAGAATTTGGAAAAAATATTTTTGAAGAAATCCTGTTGTTTTTGGGAAATTGAAAAAAAATACTTTTTACCAAATTTACTACAGTTGGGAACTTGCAAAAAATATTTCTCCAAAAATCAACCCTAGTTGATAATTGAAAATAAAAATGTTTTTTTTTTAAATCCACGTCAGTTGATAATTGAAAAAAATATTTAAAAAAAAATCAGCGTTGGAAAAAATATTTTTTCACAAATTCACCACTTTGGGGAATCTGGAAAAAATTGAAGAAATCTAGGGCTGTTGGAAATTTCGAAAAAATAAATTCACTACAGTTCGGAACTTGAAGAAAATATTTTTCAAAAATCCACTACTAGTACTTTGTATTTTTTTTTAAATCCACATTTGGAAATCATATATTTTTTAAATCAACGAATGATAGAAATTTGGAAATAATATTTTTTAGGAAAATCCACGATTGCTAGGAATTTTGAGATACTATTTTTAAAAAATCCACCAAATAATATTTTTAAAAAGTCCACGACTGAAAGGAATTTGAAAAAAATATTCTTTTAAAACTTTTCTTTGATATTTAAAAAAAAATCCACGTCTTTTAAGAAGTAAAAATATTTTTTATAAGATTCACGACTACTGAAATCTTACTGAAAAAATATGTATTTAAAAATCCACGACCGTTGGGAATTTGGAAAAAATATTTTTAAAAATATCCACGTCAGTTAATAGTTGGAATTTTTTCTTTAATAAATCCACGTCAGTTGATAGTGGGACATTTTATTCTTTAAAAATCCACGACAGTTGATAGTTGGAAAAAAACATTATTTAAAAAATTCACGTCAGTTGATAGATGGAAAAAATTTAGATCCACGTCATTTGAGAATTGGAAAAAATAAATCCACGTCAGTTGATAATTGGAAAAATTTAAATCCACGTCATTTGATAATTGAAAAAAAAAAATTAAAAATTCACGTCAGCTGATAGTTGGAAAAAATATTTTTTAAAAAATCCATGTGAGCTGATAGTTGAAAAAATATTTTTTTTAAATTCCACGTCAGCTGATAATTGGAAAAAAAATTTTTTAAAAATCCACGTCAGCTGATAGTTGAAAAAATATATTTTTTTAAATCCACGTCAGTTGATAGTTGGAAAAAATATTTTTTTAAATTCAACGTCAGCTGATAGTTGGAAAAAAATATTTTTTTAAAAAATCCACTGTTGGGAACTTGGAAAAGAAATATTAAAAAATGCATGTCTTTTGGAAACTGAAAAAATAGTTAAAAATAAAACATAGGTCTGTTTATAATTCAAAAAAAAAAAAAAAAAAAAATAGGAATTTGAAAAAAACTAAAAAATCCACTTCTTTTGATAATTGAAAACATATCTTTTCATAGTTTTTAATAAAATCCACATCTGTTGAGATCTTAAAAAAATATTTTTTTTCAAAAATCCACGTCTGTTGAGGACTCGAAATAATAGTTTGAAAAAGAACTTGAATTTGAACTAGAACTTGAAAAATATTTCTTTTAATTCACGCCTCTAGAGAGGTCCTTTAAGACCTTGAAAAAAAATTGAACTTAAAAAAATTCTTTTTTAAGAAATTCAGATCCTTTAAAACCTTGAAAAAAGCTTGTTTTTTAAATCGTCCGTCCTTTGGGAACTTAAAAAATTCTTTTTTAAGAAATCCACGTCCTTTGAGAACTTGAAAAAAATCTTTTTTTAGGAAATCTACGTCCTTTGAGAGAATGAAAAAATATTTTTTATAAAATCCACGATCTTGGGAATTTGGAAAAATGTTTTTTAAAAAATCCACGTCATTTGAAATTTGGAAAAAATATGTGTTCAAAAATTCATTGCTGTTGGAATTGTGTAAATCTTTCTGTTGAAACTTTTTAAAAAATCGACGTTTGTTCAAAAGTAACCACTTCCACTACCACTTAAATGAAGGCCGTTATATGGGGACTATACGAAGACGTGAACCTGCATACGAAAATTTTGGTCATAGGCTGCAGTATCCATTACGACCTTCAAATACGAAATTTGTTGAAATTTTGGTGAATAATGTCGCAAAAATTCTGAAAATACCGAGTATCGGAAAGTACACTCATATGGAGGCTATACGAAGACGTGGACCTGCACATGATTTTTTTTGTAGTACCCATTAAGATCTTTCAATATGCAATTTGAAACGATTCCGGTGAATAATGTTTGCTAAAATCCTCAAAATACCGAATATAGATGGGTACCGTTATATGGGGCTATACCTGGACCTGCACAGACAATTTTCTATCATAGGCTCTAGTATTCATTACGAAATTCAAATACCAAATTTGAAATAGTTCCGGTAAATAATGTCTCTAAAATCATCAAAATACGGAATATCGGGAGGTACCGTTATATGGGGCCTATACGAAGACGTAGATCAACATGGCTCATTTTCTGCTTTAGGATGTAGTATCTATTACAAACATTGAATACAAAATTTGAAACAATTCCGGTAAATAATGTCGCTAAAATTTTCAAAATACCGAATATCGGGGTGTACTATTATTTGGGGGGCTATACGAAGACGTGGACTTACATGGCCTATTTTCTGTTGCATGCTGACGTATCTATTACGAACTTCAAATACCAAAGTTGAAACGATTCCGGTAAATAATGTCGCTAAAATCATCAGAATGCCGAATATCGGGAAGTACCGTCATATGGGGGGGCATACGAAAAGTGGACTGACATGGCCCATTTATGACCTTAACCTGCCTACTGGGAAACTGTGCATGCATGCAAAATTTTAGCCTTCTATATCAATTCGTTCGAAAGATAGCGTGATTACAGCAGACAGACAGACAGACAGACAGACAGACAGACAGACAGATGGACATCGCCAGATCATCTAAGAATTTTACGCTGTTCCAGAATGGATGTATATGTACTTATAGGGTTTATTATGAATATTTGGAGGAGTTACAAACGGAATGACAAATTTAATATACCCTCCTAGAATGGTGGAGGGTATAAAAATACATATTTTAAAAAATCCACGTCTGTTGAAAATACGAAAAAAAAAAATTTTTTAAGAATTGGCGTCTGTTGGGAACATGAAAAAATATTTAAAAAAAAAATGTTCGCCTATTGAGATGTTGAAAAATAATTTAAAAACCCACGTCTGTTAGGAACTTGAATTTTTTTTTAAATCTCTCTCAAACTCTCTATAACATACGGCCTTGGAAAAATTCCATTGAACATCGTTTCTAGTTTTTATTTAAAAATATTTGCCTTAAGTACTACAAAAAATGATCTAACTTAACCCAATCGCAGGTACACAATCCTTATCTATTTTGGATTTAAGTGGACTGGCTATCTACTGCGTGTGGGTCATGACCCTTATTATCTTACACATTATCGAGTGCGACAGCGCGAAGTATTTAATTTTTTTTTTTTATTTTAAAAAATATATTTTATTTAAAAAAGTATTAATTTTTTATGTGTTTTGAAGCCATTTTTTTTAAACGATTTAAAGAAAATCAGGAAATTTCAAAATAATATTTTTATATATATATATGTTTACATTCTCCTTGACATTTTTATAGTTTTTTTATTTTTGTTTTTATATTTTTAAATTTAAATTACATAAATATGTTTGCATTTTTTATTTCTTTAATTTTTATTTTTTTATATTGCAATTGAATTTCAGTGCGTCATATTTCAATTTCTCATGCTGATTTATCTCCTTTCCTCACTCTTTGCAGTTTGTAATTATATTTTTTAACCACCATTCATGAGATTTACTTTAAAAAGGGAAGGAGACAATAAAACAAACCAACAACCACAACAAACAAAGTTATCAACAAAAAGTGTGGATTAAAAATAATAACAGCATTGCTTTTGAGTTGTAAAACAAAAATAAAACAATAACAACAACAACACCCACCAACGACAACCTGAACATTATCTTTGATTTCTTGCATCGCAAACAAAACAAAACAAAACATAACCAAAAACAGGGTAACGCAATCAAGAGAATGAGAGAGAGAGAGCTCACACACTCATCCATGATCAACGAACTCAGTTAAACAAAACAAAAAACTACAACAGCGCGGCGTCAGAAATAACCGGTCGTAATACCAAAATATTTTCAATCAGTCTCGTTTAGACTTTCAATTGCCTTGGATGTGTTGCGGATTTTTTCGGCGTGCCTATTTTTTGTGTAAAAAAAAAATAAAAAAATTAAAGGAGGAAACTTCTGCAAGAGATTGAAAAAAATAGTGGTCTTGTGAATTTAACTGTGTCAAAAAACCTTGGAATTTGAAAAAAAGTGCGCCCTTGATTTTTTTCTGGAAAACAAAAAACTTCGTTGATTTTTTTGTTTTTATAAGTTTTTTTTTGTAAATTTTTTCCTAAAAAAAAAAAAAAACAAAAAATGATGCGTACTCCCACCACCAACACTGTGCGTTTGGCCACCCAATTGATTCGCAATTCAACGACCAGATCAATTAACACCAATAACCGCCAACAGAATACGGCCGCCACGGTCCAACCCAATCTAAACAATAATGACAAATTTTTACACTTCACCAATGAGGAAGGTTACTATCGTACATCGCCCTGTGAGGCCCTGACCATACCAAATGTAACCTTGGACAAGTATGTTTGGCGTGATTTCAAGAAATGGGAAAATAATGTGGCCACGGTAAGTTTAAAATTTTTGAAAAATAAAAAAAAAAAAAATAATTAAAATAGGGAACTCCAAATTGGTCTTATACCTACAAAGGTCCATTTGATATATTGAGGGGCTTCAGGTAAAATATCATTGAATATATTTTCCATTCCAAGAAAATCATCCAACAACTGCGAGCAACAAACTGCTATAAATTACAGCGAAGTTAATATGTTTTTGGTCCTAATGGGATTTTCGAAATAAAATTTTATTTTTTTTGAAAAAGGAAGACCTTACCTTCACAACAATATAAATATCTTCAATATAGCTTTGAAAGTTACCGAGATATGGCCCAGGAAAAACTAATCCCAAAATACCCAAATTTATGTTCATTTTGAGTAAACGCCTTCCAGGTGGCATAACTCCAAAACTAATGACCACATTTTCGATTTAAAAATTGATTTTGAGTGTTGAGATGTGTACCTTCATATTTGCCGTCAGGTATAGAATTCCTTACCAGTAAGATCTACCAACGATCACGGCGAACGAACCATTATTAATGAAGTTGAAGTTAAAATTCGAGAACTTTTCACCTAACGAGGTATATCTTAGGTTCCATTGACTTTTTTCGGTAAAATGCTTGATATTTTTCAAAAAGGAAGACCTTACCTTCACAACGATATAAATATCTTCAATATAGCTCTTAAAGTTACCGAGATATAACTTAGAAAAAACTAATCCCAAAAATACCCAAAATTATGCTCATTTTGAGTAAACGCCTTCCAGGTGGCATAACTCTTAAACTAATGACCACAATTTCGATTTAAAAACTGATTTTGAATGCTGAGATATGTACCTAAAAATGATCTTTATATTAGCTTTCAGATATAGATTTCCTTACCAGGAAGATCTACCAATGATCGCGCGGAACGAACTATTATCAGTGAAGTTAAAGTTTCAAAGCGACATTTTTTCCCCTAAAGAGGTACATTTTGGGTCCTAGGGGGATTTTCGGTATAATAATTTACATTTTTGGAAAGGGGAAGACCTTGCCTTCACAACGATATAAATAGCTTGGATGTAGCTCTCGAAGCTACCGAGATATGGCTCAGTAAAAACTAATCCCAAAAATACCCAAATTTATGCTCATTTTGAGTAAACGCCTTCCATGTGGCATAACTCCTAAACAAATGACCAGATTTTCGATTTAAAAACTGATTTTGAATGCTGAGATATGTACCTTCATATTTGCCTTCAGGTATAGAATTCCCTACCAGTAAGATCTACCAACGATCGCGCGGAACGAACTATTATCAGTGAAGTTGAAATTTCAAATCGACAATTTTTCCTCCTAAAGAGGTATATTTTAGGTCTTAATGGGATTGTCGGTATAATAATTGGCATTTTTGGAAAGAGGAAGACCTTACCTTCACAACGATATAAATATCTTCAATATAGCTCTCGAAGATACCGAGATATAATTCAGAAAAACTAATACCAAAAATACCCAAATTTATGTTAATTCTGAGTAAACGCCTTCCAGGTGGCATAACTCCTAAACTAATGACCACATTTTCGATTTAAAAACTGATTTTGAATGGTGAGATATGTACCTTCATATTTGCCTTCAGGTATAGAATCCCGTATCAGGAAGATCTCCCAACGATCGCGCGGAACGAACTATTATTAATTAAATCGAAGTTAGAATTCGACAATTTTCCACCTAAAGAGGTATATTTTAGGTCTTAATGGGATTATCGATACAATGTTTGAGATTTTCGAAAAAGCAGGACCTTACCTTCACATCGATATAAATAGCTTGGATGTAGCTCTCGAAGTTAGCGAGATATGGCTCAGTAAAATGTAACCCCAAAAACACCCAAATGTATGCTCATTTTGAGTAAATGCCTTCTAGGTGGCATAACTCCTAAACTAATGATCACATCTTAGTAATTCAAGTTGATTTTGGAAGCAAAGATATAGGCCTTTAAAATTATATAAAAGATCGGTACACTTGCTTTGAAATTTTTTTCAACCACTGAGAAAAAACTTTATAATTAATAGGTCGATATTTCGTATTCAAAAAAAAATCATTCTCTGTGGCATAACTTTTACCCCCAAACGATCTCTTAGACACAATTTGCCCTAGTTTTGATAAGAGAATATCCCGACCTAACCTAGGGTTAAAATTCTTAAACATAACTCCGAAAATACCAGAGATATCGCTCAAATTAAACTTGACTCAAAAATACACAACATTTTGGCCTGTTTTAAGTAGTCGCTTCGGGAGAGCATAATTTCAAAAGTAGATACCATATCTCTTTCAACTAAATTATTCTTGAAAATATGGACCCTCCGCTTTAAAGCCGTGTAAAAAATTACAAACCCTGGTTTGAATTTGAGTTACAAAATTGTAATAATTTTTATTTTATTGTGGTAGGTCATAACATGGAACTCTGGAGTAGAGAATATCTAGGGTCATATGTGTGACCCTGTTTAATTTCTCTTAACCAAAATGAACTTGCATTGAAAGAAAACTGCCTCCTCTTTATTTCGATAATAACTATTTGAATATAGCTCTCGAAATACCAAAGATATGGTCCGAATTATACAAATCCCAAAAAACATAAAAATGTGGACCTTTTTTGAGTAGTCGCTTTCTGGGGGGCATAATTTCAAAAGCAGACACCATATCTCACTAAAATAAATATATTTTGAAAGTACAGGCCCTCACCTTTACGAGCGTGTAAAATAAATGCGTACCTTGTTTCGAAATTTAGCTGCAAAATTGCAATACATTTTATTTTACTGTGGTTGATCCTAACTTGGAATTAGGGAGTAGAACATTTGAAGAGCCATATTTGTATCCCCAATTTATTTCTCTTGAGTAAATTGTACCATCTGTGAAAGAAAAATACCTCCTCTTTATTCCGATAATAATTACTTTAATATAGCTCTCGAAATACCAGAGATATGGCCTAAATGATACAAGTCCCAAAAATACACAATATTTGGGGTTGTTTTGGGTAGCCGAATTGTGGAGGGCATAACTTTTGAACCAAGCACTGTATTTTACAGAAATAACATGATTTTGAAAGTTCTGATCCTGAACTTTACAAAAGTGTACAATAGATAAACACGTTGTTAAAAAAATGTTAAAAAATTAAAAACTTTTTTGTTAGCAATATGTTCTTATTTGGAAGTTGGGTTTGCGCACTTCAAGCGACATATATGTTAGTCTATTTGTTATTTCTGAACAAATTCCTCCTCCTCTTCCCCCTTTATTCTGATATTAATAATTTTAATATAACTTCCTAAACACAAGAGATATCGGTGAAAAGAGACAAGACCCAAAAACATATAAATTTTGACTCTTTTTGAGTAGTTCCATTGAGGAGGGCATAAATTCTAAAGTAGACACTACATCTTCCTGAAATAAACTGGTACTGAAAGCAGTAGTCCTCATCACTCCAAAAAGTATAATATCTAAACACATTGCTTTGAAAATTTATTAAAAAATGGCAAGACATTTTTTAATAATCGTAAGTCCTAATATTGATTTTGGATGCTGAGCATTAAAAGAGGCCCATTTGTGATCCTATTTGATTTATCTTAAGAAAATTCGGATAAGTTTAAAAAAGAAATGTCTCCTCTTTATTTTGATATAAATTTTTCCGACATATCTTTCAACAAATTCGAAATATGACCCAAAGAAAGCCTGACTAAAAATGTGCCAAATGTTGTGGTCAAATTAATAACCATCTGCTGCAAGATCAACACATGTTTAAGGTAATAATACCCAGAAGGACAAATCTTACGAACCAGTCGGAATAAAGCTTTAAAAATGCAAACATTTGATGAGGAAGAATTTTTTTCCATAATGGACTAAAATGATTTCCATAATTTTCACTAGATACTCAAATATCAGAAAATTGGGCTGTAAATTTTTTTCGAAAAAAAAGGCTGTGAAAAATTTCAGAATATCTAATTCGAGGTCTCATAACTCGAGTCATAGTTGGTTGATTTGCTCGAAATGGAATAATTTGGAAAGGAAAAAGCCGCGATATAAGTTAGTTCCTTGTAGCTCTTAAAATTTCAGAGATATGACCAAGGGATGCCATGACCCAAAATTGTCCAAAATTTTTGCCATTTTCCGTAATTGCCTTCCAGGGGCCATAACTTTTGTAATAGTAGATATATCTAAATGAAGTAAATTGACGACGTAAAGTTTCCTCTATAAGGGACTAAAAGGGTTTAACATAAATTTTACTGGATATTCAAATGCCAGAAAATAGGGCTTGACAAAATTTTTCGAAAAAAATGTTGTGAAAAAATCCAGAATTTCTAAATCGGAGACTCATAGCTCGAGTCATAGTTGATTGATTTGCACAAAATTGAATAATTTGGAAAGGAAAAAGCCTCCTCTATGCCGCAATATAAGTTAGTTTTTTGTAGCTCTTTTAATTACGGAGATATGATCAAGGGATGCCATGCCGCAAAATGGTCCAAATTTTTTGCCATTTTGCGTAATCGCCTTCTAGGGACCATAACTTTTGTAATAGTTGATATATCTAAATGAGGTAAATTGATTGTGGATGCTAGGATAATTACCTTAAAAATACTGTGCTATATGAAAATATTTAAAGGATTTCCCTAAATTTCACTAGATACTCAAATACCAGGAAAATAGGACTTGAAATTTTTTTTCGAAAAAAATTTTGTGAAAAAATCCAGAACTTCTAATTCGGGGACTCATACCTCGAGTCATAGTTGATTGATTTGCATAAAATGAAATAAATTGGAAAGACGAAGGAATTATCTATGCCGCTATATAAATTATTTTCTTGTAGCTCTTACAGTTCCGAAGATATGACCAAGCGATGCCATGACGCAAAATGATCCAAATTTTTTGCCATTTTGCGTAATCGCTTTCTAGGGGCCATAACTTTTGTAATAGTAGACATATTTAAATGAAGTAAATTGATTATTGAAGCACGGGTAATTATCTTTAAATTGATGTGCAACAAGTAAAC